CACTCCCCCGGATATCGCACCAACATGATCATATTGAAGTAGAAACAAGCATCCTAATGCCGGGCGGTGCACGCATTTAATCCCAGCAGAGGCAGAGGCCGGTAGATCTCTGTGAGCCTGGACTACAAGAGCTAACACCAGGACAGCTGGGGCTACACAGAGAAACCCTGTCTCGAAAAACAAACAAACAAACAAATAAATATGCACCCTAAGCTTGATGTCAATGCTAACCCACTAGGTGGTCCCTAGTCAGTTTCCATGTTGGATTCTTCTTCCTCCACCTTTGTGAAGTGGGTGGAAAGGAAAAAAAAAAAAAAAAAAAAAAAAAAAAGACCAATAGTGTCCAACTACAACCAAATGAGGGGAAGCTGAAAAACTCAGATCCACGGGAATCATTAGCTTGATTCACTGAGTAAGAACATCTGAAAACGGAGCGGCGGCGGGAGGGCTGGAGAGATGGCTCAGAGGTTAAGAGCACTGGTTGCTCGGCCAGAGGCCAGGGGTCAGAGGCCAGAGGCCAGAGGCCAGAGGCCAGAGTCTGGCCAGAGGTGCTAAGTTCAATTCCCAGCAACCATAGGCTCGCTCACAACCACGCACAATGTGGCAAACATGTACACAGACACACCAAATATTAAGTAAATTTAAAACATAAAAAGACCACCGGACGTTGGTGGTGCATGCCTTTAAACCAACCTGGTCTACAAGAGCAAGTTCCAGGACAGCCTCCAAAGCCACAGAGAAACCCTGTCTTGAACCCCCCCCCAAAAAAAAAAAAAACATAAAAAGACCATGTGGAAAAGTCATCTGAGACTATTCTTAAAGGTTTACCAACTCTACACCATTTCTTTAAAAAAATTCAAACCTACTGGAAAGTTAAAATTGAAAAAGAAAAAAAAGCTGGAGAAATGGCTCAGCAGTTAGGAAGTCTTGCTGTTCTTGCTGAGGGCCTGGGTTCGATTCCAAGTATCCACTTAGTGACTCAAAACAGTAATTCCAGTTGCAAAGGATCTGACACCATCTTCTGGTCTCCTCAGGCATCAAGTACACACATGGCATACAAACATGTATGAAGGAAAAAACTCATACCCATACATTTTTAATTGAAGACAGTGATTTCAATGAAAACCTGAGGACCTCACCTGACACTCAAGCCTTTGTATCTATCACATAGCCACTCATTTGAGCAGGCTCATATACATGTGCATAAATACAAGGCTGAGTTGCTTGAAACTATCAAACAAAAATTATTACATCCTGTATTAGTGCCTTTTCTACTGATGTGATAAAACACCATGACAAGGAGCAACTTAGAGAAGCAAGAGTTTATTTGTGCTTATGATTTTAAAGGGATAAGGGTCCACTGTGGCAGGCATGGTTGCTGGAAGAAGTTGCTGAGACCTCGCATCCAGAATCCCAAACAAGCAGGAGAGAGGGAGAGGGAAGGAGAGAGGGAGGGAGAGAGATGGAGAGAGGGGGAGGGGGAGGAAGGAATGGAGGGGAAGAGGGAGGGAGGGAGGCACTGGGAATAACAAGAGGCTTTGAAACCCCAGAGACCTACTTCCTCCACTAACCTTCCTCCACTAGACCTTCCCAAACAGTGCCACCAACTGGAAACAAAGTATTTAAATAGATGTGGCTATTCTCATTCAAACCACTTCAGACCCTAAAGACTTCATCCTGTTTCAAGGGCATTTTCTTTGGGGGGGGGCATTTTTTTAAACTTTTTTTTTTTTTTTGATTTTCGAGACAGGGTTTCTCTGTGTATCTTTGGAGCCTATCCTGGCACTAACTCTGTAGACCAGGCTGGCCTCCAACTCACAGAGATCCACCTGCCTCTGCCTCCCAAGTGCTGAGATTAAAGGCATGCGCCACCAACGCCCGACTTTAAAAACTTATTTTTCAATTTCGTACATACAAATAATACACTTTGATCATATTGTCCTCTTGTCCCTCTCTCCATTTGCTGAATCTCCTCTTCTTACCAACAAAACCTTCTGCTTTCATGTCTTATTTTGTGTCCCACTGAATTTAATTAGTGTTACTTGCCTAAGCAAAGGTAGGCTTTGATTAAGAGCCATTGCCTGTGGCCGTACAGTAAGGCATAGACACCCTCCCCCCAACAGCCATTAACTGTCAAGGGCACTTTCATACATGACCATCTCCTTACCATGTCTACTGATAATGAAAGGCTGTGACGGCTATTCTTGGTTGTTAACTTGACTATATCTGGAATGAACTACAATCCAGAAGTGGAGGGCACACCTTCAATCCAGATCTTGAGGTGGGAACGTACACCTTTAATCTGGGCCACACCTTCTGCTGGAAGCCTATGTATAATAAGGACAATGGAAGAAGGTAGTGTTTTGTTTTTTGTTTTGTGTTTTTTTTTTTCTGCCTGCTTGCCCTAGCCTTGTCAGCAATCCAGTCCTTCACTGGCATTGGAGCTCACTTCTTTGGGATTCCAGCATCTATAGAAGACCAGCTGAGATACCCAACTATGTGGGACTGATCAACTACTAAATTCTTAGACTTTCTGTTCACAACTAGCCATTGTTGAACTGCAGCCTATAAGTCATTCCAATAAATTCATTTGTATGTATGTGTGTATGTATGTATATAGAGACTCATTCCATAAGTTCTTCGATTCTAGAGAACCCTGACTAATACATAGGGTAACACTATGTAGCCCTGGCTGACTTAGAACTCAGAGAGATCCACTTGCCTCTGGTGCCTGATTGTTGGAATTAAAGGCATTTGTAATGATGCTTATCATGTCCACAGATCATTTATAAAAGCTTTTTAAAAATGTATCTGTATGAGTGTTTTGCCTGCCCATGTATTTGTGCACCCAATGCATGCATGATGCCTGCAGAAGTCAGAAGAGGATGTTGGAGGCCCTGGATATCAATGGCTGTGAGCTACCATATGAGTGCTAGCTGCTCTGCAAGGGCAGGGCAACAAGTATTCTTAACCAATGAGTCATCTCTATAGCTCCATGTCTATGGATTTTAATGTGGTGCACTAATGGTGTCTAATATGTATTCCATATGCAAAGTTAGGAATTCTTTTTTTAATACTATATTTTATGTGTATGGGCATTTTGCCTACATAAATGTCTGTGCACCACATGTATGCAGTACACACAGTGGCCAGAAGAGAGCACAAGATCCCCCTGGAACTGGAGTTTTGGACAGTTGTAAGCTGTCATTGGGTGCTGAGAATCAAAACTGGATTCTCTGGAAGAGCAGCCAATGCTCTTAACCTCTGAGCCATCTCTCCAGCTTCCTGGATGGTTTGGAACCACTATCCTGAAGTATAAGCTCACCGCCAGTATCAGTCTTTTGTGATTTCATTGGTCCACTCTCAGCATCTTCATTAAATGTGAAAATATCCACTTCCACAAGGCCCTGAGTTTACCATGGAGCAAGCTGCATGGACAACCAATCTGAACTTCATGGCTTTACAGTGGACACTGTCAATTACCAAAGAAGACAACACAAACATCCAGCTCCTTAAGCAAGGCTCGACAAAGACTTGGTGTGTGTATTTATGGTTTTTCTAGACTGCTACACTATGTAACCCAAACCTGTGATCCTCCTGCCTCAGCCTTGTAAGTTCTGGGATTACAGGCCTTTGTTGATACACCTGGCAGATTGTGCATTTTGAAAAGATTTTTAAAAAGATTTTATTTATTTATTATGTATACAACATTCTGCTTCCATGTATATCTGCACACCAGAAGAGGGCACCAGATCTCATAATGGATGGTTGTGAGCCACCATGTGGTTGCTGGTAATTGAACTCAGGACCTACGGAAGAGCGGTCAGTGCTCTTAACCTCTGAGCCATCTCTCCAGCCCCCCCAAGATTTATTTTTTATGTGTATTAATGTTTTGCCTGCATGTAATATGTATGTGTATACCATGCGAATGCTTGGTGTCTGAGGTCAGAAGAGGGTGTTGGATCACCTGGAACTGGAGTTATAGACAGCTATAAACTACCAAGTAGGTGCTGGGAACTGAACTTGGGTCCTCTGGACAAGCAGTAAGTGTTCTTAACCACTAAACTATCTCTCCAGCCCCTTTAAAACAAAGGTGCTTAGCAGCTCTCATGGAGGAAGTCATATCAGTTTAGAGAAAAGCAAAATAGTAAAGTAGATGGGAAAAAGCATCAATTGGAACCCTGGTCCAGGTAAGTCATCTTGTCAAGTTACCAAAAAGCCTCAGTTTTCTCATTACAAGATGGGACTGACACAGTATTGCCTAATAATAACTACAACATAGGGTTGTTGTAAGAGCAAATGAAAGTCCGATGATGGTGGTGGCGCACACCTTTACTCCTAGCACTCTGGGCAGCAGAGGCAGGAGGATCTCTGAGTTCAATGCCAGCCAGAGCTGTTACACAGAGAGAGTAAATGAGAAAACTTATAGCTTTTAGGCTGGTAAGTAGCTCAGCTGGTAAAGTGCTTGTTCAGCATGTACCAGGTCCTGAGATCAGTTCCCAGCACTATACAAACCTGATAGGAACTCACAGACATCCACCAGTCTCCTCTGCCTCCTGAGGGCTGGGATTAAAGGCGTGCGCCACCACTGCCGGCCTCCCTGCCCCGCACACCTCCGATTTGCTTTTTCTTTCTTTCTTTTTTCCGATTTACTTTTTCTTATACGCTATGTTTTTCGGGTTTTTTTTTTATTTAATTTTTTTTTGCGACAGGGTCTCACTATATAATCTGGCCTCAAACTCGCTATGTAGATCAGGCCTGCTTCGAACTCGCATATGCCTGCCTCTGCTTCTGGGGGCTGGGATTTGCCCGGCGCATTTAATTAGAGGGGCACACTTTTAACTCCTTTACGTCAGGAATATATAGACAGGCTACTACGCATGCGTCCAATCCTTGCACGCAGCATGTTACTATGGCAGCGGGATACCGAGCGAGCCGGAAGTCAGTACAGTACTTCCGCTTCCACAACACTTCCGGGTTGGAAGACTAGGGTCTACGTTATCTCGGGGTAGGTTGGATCAACTTTCCTTGTTTGAGCTTCTGGTTTGCGAATGTGGTGGGTGGCGACCCCACGGCTTCGTCTTGTGCGAGGCGGCGGCCTGAGGCGGATCTGCCCGTTCCTCGCCGCCCGGTGGGGGGATGGGGGGACGGGGGACCTGGGACCCATATGCCGCGGCCTGCGGCCTGCGCGATCTTTCCAACCGGTTCCTCGGGCCGCCGTCCCGGGGCAGAGCAGGGTCAGTCCCAGCGCACAGGTGGTGAGAGCACGCGTGGGGCCGGAAGTGGGGAATAGCTCATTTCCGTTCGGTAGATGAGAAGGAGCGCGTCTCGGCTCTGGGTAGTGCACCTCGGCAAGGTGCCCTACTGTTGGGAAAGGGTGTGTGCAGAAAGGAGCGTGGGACCCAGCTAGGGGTCAATGAAGGCACCGGGCATTAAGGCATCGCGTGGTCCCTAGGAGGAAATCTGAGCATAGGGCCTTCCAAGAACAGAGGATTGCCAAGGGGACCAAGACAGAAATGCGAGGCATGGGCTAGATCACGTCATAAGGAACAGAAGGCCCTGGAGGCCTGGAAGGATGTTATTGTATCTGAAGAATAACCAGGGCAGCCAAAGAGAGCATTAACTCATACCCCCCCCCAAAAAAAATCACTGTGCAGACCCAGATATTGTGCGAGGTGCTGAGGCTACAGTGATTATGTAATGTCTGCTAATTAAATGCTAAACCATTAATAGCATTTGTGCACTCCTACTGTGTGTCAGCTGAGACCTTGAAAAGTCTTTGAAAGGGCCCCCTGCATCTCCAGCTGTTACTTATCCAGCTGGGTGACCTAGGAGAGAAAGGTCTAAAGGAGAGAACCTGCCGTGATCTTGAGAATTCAACTGTTCTTTCATGGCACCTTCTCTCCAGAATATAGTCCTTACAGCTGCCATTTCCTACTCAGGATAAATGAGGTACCTTCTGTAGGAGAGGTTGCTTCAGTGGTGGAGCACACCTTTAATCCTAGCACTTGGGAGGCAGAGGCAGGCAGATCTCTGTGAGTTCGAGGCCAGCCTGGTCTTCACAGAGAAACCCTATCTCGAGGGGTGGGGGGAAAAGGACTACACACTTAATGCAGAGAGAGAAATCCAGAGTCTGCTAATAAAAACAAGCTACAGGTCAGAACGTGGAGATAATTAGAAGTAACTGTAAGCATTTCAACAGCTCAGATGGGATGGACAGGGATGGATTATGGCACTCGGGAGCCAAAGAATACTGAGTGTTACACAGCTCGGATGGAAAGGTATTCTGGCACTTGGGAGCCAGGCAATACCACAGGTCACAGTAAGCATAGCCGCTTACAACATGCTTCGGGGAAAGGCTTCCCCAGTCTATCAGCTATGATTCAGCTGGAGAGGGGCTTCCTTGGCATAGTTGTTACAGTTTGGCTCCAGTCCCCCGGAGAGCAGAGCGTAACTCCCCAGGAAAGGTTTCCCCAGTGAAAAGTGTTACAGCCCTGCTCTGCTCCACTCTGCCCAGGGTCATCTCTGCTCTGGTGAAAGGTCTCACCCAAACCTCATTCAAGAGACTTATTGGGAGGGAAGAATCCAGGAGAGTAGCCTGAACAGCCAGAAGCTGAACAGGTACAGGGTTTACATAGCGATTCTTAGGGGACGGAGTTTTTCCAGGGTGGGGATTGGTCAAATTCCAATCCCTGAGTTTAGGATGGGTAGATCATCTGCTCAGGGATTGGTTAGTTTTCTGCACAGGTTTAGGGTCGGATTTGGCTCTGGTTTCAGGGTCAGGGTGCATTTCTTTGGTTCTGGTTGCAGGGCCAAAGTGTGTTTCTTTGGTTCTGCTCAGAGTGTGTTTCTTTGGCTGGCCCCTTTTCCCTACAGTAAGAGCACCCAGTTTTAGGCTGGATGTGGTGGCATTCACCTTTAAGCCCAGCACTCTGGAGACAGAGTTCAAGGCCAGCCTGGTCTACAGAGTGAGTTCAGGATAGTCAGAGCCATGTAGAGAGACCCTGTCTGGGGAAAAAAAAAAAAAAAAAGTACATTATTTTGAACCATCTAAGTATATTACCTACTCATCAAAGATAAAGTCTAAATATTTGAACCCAGAAGCAATTCAGATTGAGAAGAGGAATGTAAAATGCTTGTATATAATCCTTTTTTTAATTTTAAATATTTTATGTGCATTGGTTTAAGGGTGCCATATCCCCTGGAACTGGAGTTAAAGACAGCAGTGAGCTGCCATGTAGGTGCTGATTTGAACCTGGGTCCTCTGGAAGAACAGCCAGTGCTTTTAATCACTGAACCATCTCTCCAGTCCATGTATGTGACTCTTTATGCACCAGAGAGGAGAGGAGGGCCTGAGGCAGGGTCTCTATCCCAAGCTGTCCTCACACTTAGTGTGCATATAAGAAAGACCTTGAACTTCTGATCCTACTGCCTCTTCTTCTCAGGGCTAGGTTACAGGTATGTGCAACTGCAGAGATGTATGAGATGCTAGGGATTGAATTGAACCAGGACTTGGTGTGAGCTAGGCAAACACTTTACCAGATGAACTACATCTCTACCCCATTAGTATATTCATTACAAACTTCATATGCCCTATATGTCAGGATTAACACAAAATTTGGCCCTTAAATACTGTGGAATTTTCTTGTTTTGCTGGTCACTAGCAAGGCACATCTACCCTCTTTGTCAAAGGCTAGTGACTCTGCATTAGGTCTGTGGATCTTAGTGATGCCAACATGAAGCTCACTTCACTCTACTGAAGGGCTGGGTCACGGCTTCGAGGTAGTAGAAATAGAGGAAACAAGACACAAACTGCCTCCCTTTGTAGGATCTGAATGTACTTTGTAGGTGTTGAATGACGGAGTGGCTGATTGCTAATTTTTATAATTACAAGTGCTACAAAAGAAGCACAGATTGCTGTGAAAGAATGAGGAAAGGAAGCTTTTTTTTTAATATAACTTTTTTTTTTTTTTTTAGACAGGATTTCTCTGTGTAGCCCTGGCTATCCTGAGCTCACTCTGTAGACCAGGGATCTGCCTGCTTCTGCCTCTACCTCTTTGCCTCTCTCTCTGCCTCTCTACCTCTCTGCCTCTCTGCCTCTCTACCTCTCTGCCTCTCTGCCTCTCTGACTTTCTGC